GCCCGGTCGCGGTCGAACGGAGAGAACAGATCGCAACTGTCCAAGTTACATTTATAACGTTATGTGTGGCCACGTGTGTGCCGTGTAAACCGACGACGTACCGCCGGACGGCTCGGCGTATTTTGCGCGCGGGAAAGCGAAGGCGGATGAAGTAGAAAAAAAACACAGGGGAGCGTCGCATTCAGTTTGTTGCACTTGTCAGGCGTGAAATGTACATATAACGTGGAAACTATACGGCGTTTACATTATTGAAGCGAAGTCTCCCGCCTCGAGGAGAGTTGCCGAGCTATTTTTCAGGAGTTGATATACGCACGCAACAGTGATATTTTTTCTTTATGAACCATTTTTGTAAAAAATTTATTCTGCAGGACGAGAAGACTTCTAATTTACAATGCAATGTATATTGACTAGGGTTTTATGGTCTACTTAAAATAAAGTGGAATCTAATTGAGTAAACTAACTAATTGAATAAACTTTTATTGGATGAACGATATTGATAAAAAAAACTTTAAACATAACAGTGATGTGACTGGAGAAATTTGATACCAATGTTTATTTAAGAACGCACTCAGGAATTTATCGTTTAACTGAGCAGTTTATTGACAGAGCGAACGAGTTTTCAGAAGTTACAAAAAACGTTGATATAACGTAATTTTTTTCACGAACAATTTTTGCACAAAGGTTTATTTTGTGAAATGATGATTTCGGTTTTACGGTGTGACGTGCATCCATCAGATTTTTATTTAATTCAATTAATAAAGGAAGTCTAATTGAGCAAATCGGTTTTTATTATTTTTTATATGCATTTTTTTTATAAAAAAAAAATTTTTATACGAGGATATAATGGAGGGTATTTGGAATCAATTTTAATTCAAGGATGCACGTCAGGAATTTATGGTTTAATTGAGCGGTTTACTGAGCGAGCTATCCTATGATGAAGTCTAATCGAGAAAAATTGGTTTTTATTAAAACGTCCATAGCTGATGTATTTCCAATATTGACGTGGAACTTTTTTGCTTGTTACGTTTTTGCGTACCACGGCGTATAGAAAGAGTGTCATTGATCCTTGCTTTTATGGTTCATTCTCCCATCAAATACTCAAAGAGAGCACTCCAGCGTAATATTTGACGATCGAGTAACAAGTAAACAACCGGTTTTGCAATTATACAGTTTAAAAAGTTTCAAAAAGTATGTATTGTATTTTAATTTTTCAACGCAGAACGATTGAGAGATGATAGAACGCACGCTTAAGTAAATGGAAAATAATTCCGAGTTAAAAATTACGAAAAAAATATCATTATGCATTTTTTTTTCAAAACTGTAGAATTAAACATTTCGGTTTCCGCAAGGATGACTGAACCGCACAGTCATTTGGGCTTAGCAAACCCACGGACCTGAGCTCAGTACACTGCGGTCATACACACACACACACACACACGTACAATTACACAAGTGATTAAGAATTATACGAGAAAAACAGATTAAACGTGCGAACAGAGTAGAAAGGAATTAGAGTTTTGATTAAAAGAAGTTAATGAGATAACGTGCAAAATTGTTTGAAGATCGAATTGAAAGTATTACACTAAAAAAAAAA